GTTCTCCCCGGCTCTGGGAGGGGGATCAGGTGGTGGTGGTGGGGGGGGACGCTTACCTGCACCAGGGCCCAGGTGTACAGAACAGCCACCCAGGGGTTCCCCCCCTTGGAGACAATTTTGGCTGGAGCCAGGACGATGCCTGTGCGGGGAGAAAAGCGCGTCAGAGCGAGGAAGCGACCCGGGTCGGGAGGCGGCGGGGGCCCATGGGACAGGCCGGGGAGACCCAGGCCGGGGGAGGGGGGGGGACACTCACCGAACAGGTCGTCCTTGGCCAGCGCGTGCAGGATGCGGGAGGCCCCGATGAGGGAGCTCATGGAGGCTGAGAGGGACGCGGCGTAAACCCCGACCAGGACCAGGGGCGGCCACAGGTTGATGGAACGGAAGAAGCCGTAGTCTTCCTTCAGCAGTGTCCTGGAAAGGGGGGCGGAGCCAGGCCTTGAGCCCCACCCACCACACCCCAGCTCCCCTAGGCACGCCTTGTCCCTGCTCCATTTCCCACCTTTTAGTCTGACCCTGCAAGCCACTCCCCATCCCTGAAAACCACGCCCATTTCAACTAGCTCTGTGGCTTAACCCCACCTCTTACTCTGGCCCTGAAAGCCACGCCCCTCCCTGAAAGCCACGCCCCTTTTACTAGCTCTGTGCCTGAACCCCACTCAACCCCCTAGCCCCACCCATCCATAGCCCCGCCCCCACCCATCTTCTGCACACGAACTCCACCCTAAGCCCTGCCCCCTACCCCAACTCTTAGCCCGACCCCATTTCATTAGCTACGCCCCCTGGCCATTCCCCCCCTCTGCCCCACCCCCGATAGCCCCACCTCCGCCTTCCCTCCCACCCCTGCCCTCACCGCATCCCTGTGCCCCGAAGCTCCGCCCAACCCCACCCCTCAGCCCACCCGCTGCTCTCCTAGCCCCGCCCCCTGATCCCTTAGCTCCACCCCATTCGCCAGCTCCTCCTTAAGCCCCACCTCTATTCTTTTAGCCCCTCCCTTTGGTGCCAACAGCAGTGTGTTCAACAGCAGTGTGTTCAACTCCCCCCCATCCATCCCTGCCCCCCCTCACCTCTCACAGGTGAAGCTGGTCATGAGGAAGAGGAGGAAGTAGATGATGAAGGTGTAAACCACAGCGATGATGGTGCCCTTGGGAATGGAGCTGCTGGCGTTCCTCAGCTCCCCTGCAACGGCAGCCCAGCACCGGGATGGAACCCAGGAGTCCTGGCTCCCAGCCCCCCTCCCTGCTCTAACTCCCCCCCCAGAGCCGGGGAGAGAACCCCGGCGTCCTGGCTCCCCCCCCCCCCCCCCCCGCTCTCACCCACCAGCCCCCACTCCCCTCCCTTAACCGGGGACAGGACCCAGGCGTCCGGGCTCACCCGACATGTTGGACCCCGCCATGATCCCGGTGCAGCCGTTAAACATGACGGCGAAGACGGTGGCGAACGTCATGACGTTGTTGGTGGTGTAATCGCGGGAGTACATGGCTGGGGGGGGAGACACGACAAGTAAATGGGGGGTCATTCCCCCTTCCCCACGAACTCCTCCCCCTTGTCTGCTCCCCCCCCCGCCCCGCCCCCCTCCTGGGCCTCGGCTCCCCACCCCTGGGCCGTGGCGCCCCCCCTCAGATCCCGTCATCTCCCCACAACCCCCTCCATCCCCCAGGGTTTGCTCCCCCACCCTCTGCTGACCATGTGCCCCCCAGTGTGCCTCCAACCCCCCCAGCCGGTGCCCCCCCAACACCCCCACTGCCCCCCTTTCTCCCTCTGCCCCCCATCTCCAGTCCCCCCACCCTCCACCTCTGCCGCCTCCACATCCCCGACCCCCCTGCCACCCCTCATGACCCCCCTGCACCTAACGCCCCCTCCCTGCTCAACGCCCCCCAACCCTTCCTTTCTCCCTCTGGGCCCCACCCACATCCACGACCCCCCTGCCCCTAACGCCCCCTCCCCGCTCAACACCCCCCATCCCCTGCTTTGCCCCCCACCCCTCCCTTTCTCCCTCTGCCCCCCATCTCCAGTCCCCCACCACATCTTTAGCCCCCTCCACCCCTCAGGACCCCCCCCACCCCTAATGTCCCCTCCGTCCTCGACACAGCCCCCATCCCCTGCTTTGCCCCCCCACCCCTCCCTTTCTCCCTCTGCCCCCCCCCAGCCCCTACGCCCACTGACCGGGCAGGTTGGCCCGCAGGGTGGCCAGGCGGAAGCCGGTGAAGCTGGCGTTGAAGGTGTGGTTGGCGTCCCGGGCGACGGCCACCTGGCGGGGCCCCACGGCCACGAAGCTGACGAAAATGGCCACCAGCACCAGGTTGACCACCAGGAAGATGAGGAAGGCGGCCCGGGCATAGATCCGGGCCCCCACCAGGCAGACCACCAGGCAGACCAGCAGCACCACCGACCCGTAGAGGAAGCTGTAGAAATAACCCTGGGGCAGGGCGCGGACACCGGGGGGGTCTGTTCCGTCTGCGGGGGGGGGCGGGGGGGCACTATCAGGACTGCGGCGAACCCAGGCATCCGGGCTCCAACCCCCCCCAGAGGCCCTACTCCCCGCTCAGAGCCGGTGAGAGAACCCAGGCGTCCGGGCTCCCAGCCCCCCCCCTCTAACCCACCAGCCCCCCCCCTCCCCTCCCAGAGCCGGGGAGAGAACCCAGGCGTCCGGGCTCCCAGCCCCCCCTGCTCTAACCCACCAGCCCCCACTCCCCTCCCAGAGCGGAGGAGAGAACCCAGGCGTCCGGGCCCACCTGCCCCGAAGACGTCCAGCACGGCCTCCACCAGCCCCAGGATGTAGACCCCGCAGGCGCAGACGTTGGCCAGGTAGAACATAAGCCCGATGCTGCCCCCAAACTCAGGGCCCAGCGTCCGCGAGATCATGACTGGGGGGCGGGGGGGTCGTTAAGGAAACGCCATGGTATCCTGGGGGGGGAAGACGCCACCCCCCCCCACAGAGCCTATTCCCCCGCCACACTCCACTGAGACAACTCCTACACTGCCCCCCATGCACCCCTATATCCCCTTCCCCAGAGTCTCCCCCAAAGACCCCCTCCATAAACAGATCTCCCCTCACCCACTGCTCCTCACAGCCCCTGCCCCCAGAGACAGC